GCTGATGCTGCTGTTGCTGAGGCTGCTGCTGCTCCTGTTTCTTCTGACGGTCGCGTTGAGTGTGGTTGAGTGTGGCACTGGGCGTTGGTGTGGGACAAGTGTGGATGTAGGTAGCAGTGGTCGCTGTCGGCTCCGCTCTCTCCTGCTTTCTTGTTTCCTCTCCCTCTGCTCCTGCTCCGACTCCGGGCGCCTCCGTCTCCGTCCTGTCCCCCGCCGTTTCCACTCGACCCATTTTGGACACGTCCATCGCCCCGGATACCACCGGAAGCGACGAACGCGTGCCCCGCGCCATTCTTTGGTTCCTCCTCCCGACGGCGAAGCAATTCCGCATGGGCATCTCGTACACCCTTTTCGATTTTTTCGCGCGAGGGGGGAATCGGTGACATAGTCAGAATTTTCTTTTCCATCGTGTACTCGTCGGAAAGGTGGTACACCATGTGGGCATTGGCATCTTCGTCGGAGAAAGTAACACCGTGCGAGGCTAGCCTACTGCGCAAAACAGCAAATCTCCCGAAGTATTCTTGGCGGGTCTCGCCTACTTTCATCTCAAGACCACGGTATTGGGATGACAGTCTTTTCTTCTCCGCTCTGGCACGCGGCTCGTAATAGTTCAAGAAAATTTTCCAACCTCCGCTTGGACTACCATCAGCGATGATCTGGGTAAGGATTGGCATGTATGTTACAGACGTGATCAGCAGGTTCCACGCCGTAATTGCCTTCTCTACGCTATCAGGCGAGTGCATCCTATGCAATTCCTCCATGTCTATCCCTTCTAGCCCGACTGGAATTCTGTGGTCACTCAATACCACTTCCCTGACTCCTTCTTGCGCAAACATAGCAATCATGTTCGATCGAAAAATCAAAAATCTTGCCTGCTCATCTTCCCCTTGCCTAAAAATCCCATCCCAAGGCGCTAGGCGCTTAACCTCAGTCAGGCGAATACTTCCTCCTGTATTGGGTACTCTACCGCTGTCCCGTGGTGATATCTGCAGGCGGCTGGTCAGCGCGTCGGCGAGAGTGCGGGCGATGTCATCTACGGCCGGGTTCGCCGATGGCCGCCCCGCTTGTTGCTGGTGGCGTGCCTCGTGCTCGCTTCCGGTCCGGACGTTCTCTGTCCTCTGCTCCTCCTCGTCTTGTTGCCGCCTTATGTCGGCCAGTCGTTGTTGTACTCTCATCTCCACCAACTCGTTGATGCGGGCGTCCTCGTCTTCTGCGTGACGGGCGCCTCGTTCTTGGTCGGCGCTGGACATCGGTGACAGCTGCTGATCGCCGCAAAGCGATACTCC